GCTGAGCGGCTTAGGAGGCGCTATCACGACAAAGATGCATACAGATTAGCCTTTAATTATATAAGGATATGCCATCGGCTTATCCAATGGGGAGTGTGTGGTGCAGTGGTTAGCACCCTGCATTATGAACCTGACAATCTGGGGTCAGAGTACAGAATGTGTTATGACATCGCAGAAATGTTGAACGTTTAGCGTACGAACACATTCCTGTGGAGGGAGCTGGGAGGAACGTTGGGTTACTCGGTCAATGGCCAGGGTCAACGGCGGCGTGGTGTATTCCGCAAATATGCCCGACTGTGAGGGCGGGCACAAGCCGGCGTGAGTAGGTTAAACGTTGATTTTTATAAGGGCACCACGGGGTGACCAGCCCCTCCCCACCCAGCCCCTCCCCACCCTCCCCACCCAGCCCCACCCTCCCCACCCAGCCCCTCCCCACCCTCCCCACCCAGCCCCTCCCCACCCTTCCCACCCAGCCCCTCCCCACCCTCCCCACCCAGCCCCACCCTCCCCACCCAGCCCCTCCCCACCCTCCCCACCCAGCCCCTCCCCACCCTTCCCACCCAGCCCCTCCTTGCACGACGGACGGACGGACACAATAATCCCCTGTGGGCTGGTGTAACCAGGAGGTTCCTACCAGTATTATACTCTCTCGTAACTCCCGGGTAAATAAAGAAAGTTACACACGTTGGACATTCCTAGCGTTACGAGAAATCTTTACGGGGTTGGTCGTAAGTAGATCGTAACCGATAATAACTATCGATGATGTCACACAAATTGCCGTCAAATTAAATCACCAAATTACATTAACCGCAGCGTTTACAATGAATACCGTCAACACTAATACCGTCATCGTTGGACAGGGTGATTTCTTGTCTCCGTAGCCGTGCGATTTGGGCTGGTGCAGGAGATACTGATGGTGTCTCGCTGTTGCAGCCATTTGGGGTTCCCGTTTCGCATTTAGCGAGGGCTAACGAGCGGGTCAAGCGGCGACACGTTTCACGTGTTTGTTTGTTGTTGTTGTTGTTGCTGCGCGCGCGTGTGACAAGGGGTGAGTACTCAAGAGACGACGAGAGGGGGGGATGGGGAGAGGTGATCTCATTTTTGCAAAAAGTGACCTGGTTGACTGAAAACTGCAATGACAATGACGCAAATAAAACATCGGAGCAAAAAAACACAACTGCATTACAGAGCGAAACGAATAATAGAGATGTAAAGCAGTCGACAGGCATACTATTGGTGTAAATACATTGCCTGCGACAAAAAAAAGTTGGCTCAGATAAATCACGTGTATTGAACGCGCAAACATTCACAGCACTCTAAAGTGAAGTTAAAGAAACAGCAAAAAATATATTCGGGGTGATTATTGCATCGGCGTGTAAACAGACAAGGATATGCATCCAAAGATAATCGCCAGTGACGTTATCACACAACATCGACCGCTCAACATCAACGCGTGATTTTCGATGTTTTTTTATTGTAAAATTAGTGGCGATGATGATGGTGGTGGTGATGGTGGTGAAGATGATGATGATCACCACACAATGCCGCTCTCACACGACGGATGGATACACCCGCAGTTTAGAGACTCATTAAGTCGCGTAGACCCATAGACTCGCATGGAGACCCATAGGCTTACATATAGACCCATAGACTCGCATGGAGACCCATAGGCTTACATATAGACCCATAGACTAACATAGAGACCCATAGACTTACATAGAGACCCAGACTAACACAGAGACCCATAGACTTACATCGAGACCCATAGACTAACATAGAGACCCATAGATTTACATCGAGACCCATAGACTTACATAGAGACCCATAAACTAACATAGAGACCCATAGACTTACATCGATACCCATAGACTAACATAGAGACCCATAGACTAACATAAAGACCCATAGACTTACATAAAGACCCATAGACTAACATAAAGACCCATAGACTTACATAGAGACCCATAGACTAACATAGAGACACATAGACTAACATAGAGACCCATAGAGTTACATGGAGAGCCATAGACTAACATATAGACCCATAAACCTACATCGAGACCCAAAGACTTTAATATAGACCCATAAGACCCATAGACTATCACAGAGACCCAGTCCATAATAGATTTTTTTGGGGGGTTAGATCGCGTAAATATAAATGTGTCGTCAACCCTCCACCACCACCCGACAATCAGCAAGGTGTGTCACGTAGCACAACACGTGCCAGTTAGTGACGCGTGCATCACACCGACGGTGTGTTGCAGAGGAGACCCACAGCAGCGTTTGCGATTCGAGCCCCGTGACGTTTCCGAAAAACCCGCGTGTGAAACCGACAGAGGGTGCGGGTGGTGCAGACTGCACCACGGGGGGCCAGTGGCGTAGGTAGGATATTTTTGCGCCCGGAGACGAACTCTAAAATTTGCGCCCACACCCCCCGTTTAATCACATGCCAAAATGTAATTACATGACATGTAGGCTGTGTGTGGCGGGATATATGAACTTTTAGGTTGAGGTGTAGATTTGTGCAGTATCTTCTTGGTTCTTTCGGTAAAGTCACGTAGGCTGGTAATAATAAAATAATAAAAATAAAACATTATAAAATAATTCTCACGATGTTTTGGCCACAACGTAAGCAGCCGTCCTCAGGTGGAGAACAGGTCTGTCGGGGAGACAGCGCCCGAATGACTGAATGACTGTCTTCTCGACAGACCTGTTCTCCACCTGAGGACGGCTGCTTGCGTTGTGGCCGAAACGTCGTGAGAATTATTTTATTATGTTTTATTTTTATTATTTTATTATTTCCATTCTACGTGACTTTACCGAAAGAACCAAGAAGATGAATCCCTGCAGTCACGAAAGCTTTAAATCGAAATTTGTGCAGTAGTTTCAGGCTGCCGCGCCCGCCGCAATAAGTTATAATGTCACGTTGTAAGCCTCATTTTGGCGCCCCTTTACCTTGGCGCCCGGGGACATATGTACCCCCCTGCCCCCCCTAGCTACGCCTCTGCGGGGGGGGGGGGCCACGGCTCCCACTCGGCCGTTCGGGGGCCCGAGGCTACGGCGACCAGGGGGTAGATTGGACCGGACCGGGGCAGTGTCTTTCGTTCGCACCCAGGACCCATGCCAAGCAAGCTCGCTCGCTCTACTGGACGACCAACAAGAAAATGAAAAATGAACCATTATTCAGCGTGCAATTTTCTCCTGCTGAGAAATGTGAAATCAATGGCTTTTTTTCCTCTCCCCTTTTGTATCTTCCTTTCATAAGCAAGCATTGCAGGCTAAAGCAACATGTGTGTGTGTGAGAGTGTAAGGGGGGTGTAGGGGTTAGCGCGCTACGAACCTTGCGACCCGAGTTCGATTCCCGCTCACGATTATCTGTAACCGGTCCCGGGCCTTCCCTAGGTCGACTCAGACTCAAATTAGTTACTTGATGTGCTGTGTGAACATCGCCACTCGAGAGACAAAGGTGGCAGGGCGTGGTGCTGGCCATCGACCCCCTCGTTTACCCTGCTGGTCTTGATTTGTGCTCGCAAACAGCACCTGCCCCACAAGTCTGTTGAAGGCTATCTGGGGGATATTTATCTTTGTGGCGATCGAGATTCAACTCCAGGCAGTGATGCACAAATCCAGAGCCACTTCATTGCTACGCGTGGTTTTGAATTTGGGGCCGTCCATAAATGACGTCGCGCACCTAGGGGGGCGGGTGGGGTCAGACATTTGTGACGATGTGTGACGAGGGGCGGGGGGGGTTGAGAAATGTGACGTCACGTAAAAATGCGCAACTTTAAATAAATATACACAACACGTTCTACTTAATGAATAGACTTTTTAATAAATGTTTTCTCATACAACATCAGAGTGCAGCGCCACATTAAATACGCACTACAATGACAATAGTTTAAAGCGATTTGAAGCTTGTTTTATTTTCAAAATGGAAATATGGTTTTGGGGAGGTGGGGGGCAGAGCTTTGTGAAGTCATATTTGAGGCGGGGGGGGGGGTCTAACTTTTTGTGACGCCGTGTGACGAGAGAGGGGTGGGGTCAAAAATCGTCCAAAATCGCGTGACGTCATTTATGGACGGCCCCTTTGTGGCGATCGAGGTTCGACTCCAGGCATTGATGCGCGTGGTTTTGAATTTCCTTTCGATTGATTCGACCTTTCAATGGGGTCGCCACCGATTCCACGATCCAACCCCGGAAATATGTCTCAGCCAGCAACCAGGGTCGATGAACAACAACACTGCACAGTTTACTGAATTAAAGTTCAAAACGCCCACACCGGTTAGCAGATCTCGGTTACAAATCAATCCCTGCTGCTGCTGCTCGCATCCGAGCATGGATGAGGTCGATTCGCTGGCTGTCCTGGGTCAAACCAGGATAGGTTGCAACCACGTACCGAGATGAGTGCCTGGCAATGCCACGCTTACACTAAACACTGGCTGGGTGTGTGCAGGGCAGGTCTGGCATCAATAGGCGCTCGCACACAGCAGTTTACACCCGCCGTGCGCACGTTTATGTGTTTCAAGTCACTGCATCTGCTCGAGTCACGGTTGTTGTCATGGCTTATGAACTCGATACGACGAAGACGAAGTGATTTGTTCTCCGTTAAAACATATTCCAGTCCAGGCCAAGGGACGTCCTTAATTCCGCTTTTAAAACATGCAGTTTTTCTTGTGCACTTGCCCCACAACACTCTGTTCACAGGCTATACGGGGGCCCCGTGTCTTCTCTGTCTATTTGTTGATATTCTTGATCTTGAAACTTTTCCATCACTGACGAGTTTTTTTTGTCTTTCCCCCGCCTGTTTTCGTTTCATTCTCGCGGGGGCCGGGAGGAGAGGGGGTTGATTTTGGGTCTTGTTTTTTCTTGGTTGTTGTTTTTTTCGTTTGCTGTTTTTGTTTTGTTTTTTTTGTTTGTTGTTTTTTTTTTCTTGCTTTCTTCTCTTTGCCCCCCCCCACCCCCTCCACCTTTCCTCCAACCACGTGTCGCCCGCCGGGCAGGGAACGAAAGTTTACGGGAACACTACGAGCAGGACAGCAAGATGGCCTTCGTGGTGAATGCCATCTACGCCATGGCCCACGGCCTGCACAAGATGCAGCAGGCGCTGTGCCCGGGCCAGCGCTCGATGTGCCCCGCGATGCGCCCCATCAACGGCAGCACGCTGCTCACCTTCCTCATGCGCACGCGCTTCTTCGGGGTCACCGGCGAGGAGATTCAGTTCGACGAGAACGGCGACACCCCCGGCCGGTGAGGTGCACCACGGTCGGCACTCGCCCCTCCCCCCCTCCACAGACACGCCCCTTTCACACGCACACCCCCCCCCCCAGACACACCCCTTGCCTACGCACACCCCCCCCCCAGACACGCCCCTTTCCCACGCACACTCCCCCCCCCGACACACCCCTTGCCCACGCACACCCCCCCCAGACCTCACCCCTTTCCCACGCACACTCCCCCCCCCCAGACACACCCCCCAGACAACCAACCCAGACATCCCCCGTCCCCCACCAGACACCCCCCTCCCTACCACCACACCCCCTCTCCCCCACCAGACACCACCCACCCCAAACACTCCCTCCCCTAGACACCCCACTCCCCCAGACACCCCACACCCCCAGACACCCCACTCCCCCAGACACACCACTCCCCAGACACCCCACTCCCCCAGACACCGCACTCCCCCAGACACCCCACTCCCCCAGACACACCAACCCCCAGACACCCCACTCCCCCAGACACCCCACTCCCCCAGACACCCCACTCCCCCAGACACCCCACTCCCTCAGACACCCCACTCCCCCAGACACCCCACTCCCCCAGACACACCACTCCCCCAGACACCGCACTCCCCCAGACACCCCACTCCCCCAGACACCGCACTCCCCCAGACACCCCACTCCCCCAGACACCCCACTCCCCCAGACACCCCACTCCCCCAGACACACCAACCCCCAGACACCCCACTCCCCCAGACACCCCACTCCCCCAGACACCCCACTCCCCCAGACACCCCACTCCCCCAGACACACCACTCCCCCAGACACCCCACTCCCCCAGACACTCCACTCCCCCAGACACGCCACTCCCCCAGACACCCCACTCCCCCAGACACCCCACTCCCCCAGACACACCACTCCCCCAGACACACCAACCCCCAGACACCCCACTCCCCCAGACACCCCACTCCCCCAGACACCCACTCCCCCAGACACCCCACTCCCCCAGACACCCCACTCCCCCAGACACCCCACTCCCCCAGACACCCCACTCCCCCAGACACACCAACCCCCAGACACCCCACTCCCCCAGACACCCCACTCCCCCAGACACCCCACTCCCCCAGACACCCCACTCCCCCAGACACCCCACTCCCCCAGACACACCACTCCCCCAGACACACCACTCCCCCAGACACACCACTCCCCCAGACACCCCACTCCCCCAGACACCCCACTCCCCCAGACACCCCACTCCCCCAGACACCCCCACTCCCCCAGACACCCCGCTCCCCCAGACACCCCACTCCCCCAGACACCCCACTGCCCCAGACACCGCACTCCCCCAGACACCCCACTCCCCCAGACACCCCACTCCCCCAGACACCCCACTCCCCCAGACACCCCACTCCCCAAGACACCCCACTCCCCCAGACACCGCACTCCCTCAGACACCGCACTCCCCCAGACACCCCACTCCCCCAGACACCCCACTCCCCCAGACACCCCACTCCCCCAGACACCCCACTCCCCCAGACACCGCACTCCCCCAGACACCCCACTCCCCCAGACACACCAACCCCCAGACACCCCACTCCCCCAGACACCCCACTCCCCCAGACACCCCACTCCCCCAGACACCCCACTCCCCCAGACACACCACTCCCCCAGACACCCCACTCCCCCAGACACCGCACTCCCCCAGACACCCCACTCCCCCAGACACACCAACCCCCAAACACCCCACTCCCCCAGACACCCCACTCCCCCAGACACCCCACTCCCCCAGACACCCCACTCCCCCAGACACCCCACTCCCCCAGACACCCCACTCCCCCAGACACCCCACTCCCCCAGACACACCACTCCCCCAGACACACCACTCCCCCAGACACCGCACTCCCCCAGACACCCCACTCCCCCAGACACCCCACTCCCCCAGACACCCCACTCCCCCAGACACCCCACTCCCCCAGACACCCCACTCCCCCAGACACACCACTCCCCCAGACACACCAACCCCCAGACACACCACTCCCCCAGACACCCCACTCCCCCAGACACCCCACTCCCCCAGACACCCCACTCCCCCAGACACACCACTCCCCCAGACACCCCACTCCCCCAGACACCCCACTCCCCCAGACACCCCACTCCCCCAGACACCCCACTCCCCCAGACACACCACTCCCCCAGACACCCCACTCCCCCAGACACCCCACTCCCCCAGACACCCCACTCCCCCAGACACACCACTCCCCCAGACACCCCACTCCCCCAGACACCCTACTCCCCCAGACACCCCACTCCCCCAGACACACCACTCCCCCAGACACTCCCTTCCAGACACTCTATCACCGCTGTTTAGTAGAAGGATGACTGAGGCATAGTACCCCCCCCCCCCCCCTCATGATTGAGGCGTTCGCTGTCTTTGTAAAAAATTGGTAAACCTGTTAACGATGTTCGTTCCAACAACTGGTTCCGACTTCTTTGACGCTGCGCCATCCAGTGAAGGGAGATGCCGTTTGTTGTTCACTCTGCGACGGGCAGAGTTGGCTTCTGCAAGCGCCAAGCAAGGACAGGGTTTTGTTGCTGTATAAATCTGCAAAGCCACACGCTCCACTACCCAGCCACACACTCCACTACCCACACACTCCACTACCCAGCCACACACTCCACTACCCAGCCACTCACTCCACTACCCACACACTCCACTACCCAGCCACACACTCCACTACCCAGCCACTCACTCCACTACCCAGCCACTCACTCCACTACCCACACACTCCACTATCCACACACTCACTCCACTACCCACACACTCCACTACCCACACACTCCACTACCCACTCACCCCACTACCCACTCACTCCACTACCCAGCCACTCACTCCACTACCCAGCCACACACTCCACTACCCACACACTCCACTACCCAGCCACTCACTCCACTACCCAGGAACTCGCAGGCGATGGACACTTCTAAGTCCGGCTGTAGACCCCACCAGCTGTGAATCACGGCCACCCTCTTTCTCGGTCTCCCCCTCTCCGCCTCGAGTCTCTCTCTCCCCGCTTACTTCTCACTTGCTCCTTTACACTCACGGCGCTCCGACATCTGTTGTTTAAGGGAGCCTTATAAATCAGATTGGTTATTTATTTATTAATAAGTTCACGTTTTTCATCATAGCGTGTGTTGTGTGTGTTCTCATGCGTTACGACTGAATCTCGAATTGGATTGTCAACACTTTAAATTATGCAAATATTGTAATTGATCGTGAATAGTAAATGAAAATCCGTGGGTGTGGTGGGGTTTTGGGGTTGTATGTAATAAAGCGAGCGACAGAGAGCAAATTATCTGAAGCCTCAAGCGACGTGCGGGGTGGAATTAGAACTATGAAAAGAAGCAAGGATGCGAAACGGAAGATTGAATTCACAGAACTCTACAAGACGATTGGGAGAGGGGGTTGGTGGAGGGAGAGAGAGAGAGAGATAAAATAAATAAATAAACCCACGCCGCAGAAGCCACCATGGCGAGCGTGAATGATGAGATCGATGATCGGTCGCACCCGTTAGGGAGTGACACGGAATTGTTGATGGGCCGAAAGTAAACAATAATGAACACGTGGCGGCCAGCACGCTAATGGACATCTGTGAAAACAACAACAACAACAACAAAAATAGCTTCACCGCTCAACCGGCTTCCTCCAGTGCACGTCGACATTTTTAAATCCTTTATATTAAGTTCGCTTGCTTGCTTGCTTGCGTGCTTGCTTGCTTACGACCGTGCAAATCTTTCGGTCGTTTTTTAACCCACTTCCCGTGATCCAATCGAGCTGACATTTTGCACACAGACTCGTTGTGCGAGACAATTTTTTTCAAAAATTGTACACTGTTTAGGGAAAACAAATTAAATATTTAATTACCAATTGCTTAATACTGGCAGACAATCATCTGACCCATAGGTGGCAGCCATCTCAAGCCAGAGGACGAGAGGACTCTAGCCGCCACGCATATAAAGGATTTATAGTGAAAAACTTTGTTTTTACGGGTTATACTTATAATTCTACGAGACGCGTGCGGCCACCACGTGGGGCCACCACGTGGGGCCTACCTGAGCACGAGACCTCCGTGGCAGTGGCTGCGGTGACTCTGTTATGAATATCGCTGCTGCTGATGTTGTTGTTGTCGTGTAAATGCAACGCGTGGCCAGAGGCCCAGTGGCGGGAGGAGGGAGCGAAGTTGTGTTTGTAGTGGCCAAGAGACTCGTCCGAGTTTAAAGCTATGAACTGAATCTTAGCAGGGTTTTTTTACACCATTGGAACCTCATTTGCCAGTAAAAAATATGATAATTGGTTTTTTACCCTTCTATCTGGTCCAACCCATGTGAGACTAGGCTCTAAGGAAAGCTGTCTCGGGTGTGGACCAATCAACATCAAGGACAGTGCACATTATCAGAGTTATGTTTTTTATTTGCATTATGACTGCAGGTATTGTGGTCTATGCAAACATGATTCCTTGTAAAAAAAGGTGTCAGTTTTGTTGCCAGATAGAAGGGTTAAAAAAACTATTATCAGGGTTTTTTAAATCATTATTTCTGAGTGACGCCACGTGACCTTTAACGTCCACTGTGACGTGAGACGACCCATAGTATGTCAATGATCGATACGCCTGCGATATAAAAAAAAAACTACTCAATGAAACAATTGTTTTTTTATTTTACCAGGTGAGGCCCCACTGAGGCTGTATAGCTCTTTTTCAATAGCGACCTGGCTATCGCAAATGATAGCTCAACGAAGCGGCATAATCATCGTGTGGAAATGTCGAGCAGCCGGGTACTCTAAACGCGTGACGTTGATTGTAAATGTGGAGGGGAAAACCGGAGGACCCGGAGAAAAGCCCACGCGACCATGACGAGGGAGAGAGAGAAAGAGACACGCGAACTCCACATATACAGCAGCAGGCGTCAGGGTCGAGATCGAACCCAAGACCTCCTGTATACCAGGCGAGGTAGTTAACATCTCCTAGCCACTGT